AAGATGGAGAAGAACAGAAGGGCTTCTGAAGGTCAGGGAATAAGACCAGGTTTTGTTTGAGGGGTGGGGAAGAGGAAGGAAGGTGGTAATGAGAGCTCAGGATAGGTATTGAAGAGCGGTAGGAAGATTAGAGTGAATACGAAGGTTAAGGTCAGTTGAGCTATGGAGAATCTGAAATGCCAAGCAGAGTATGTATTTGATGTTGATTGTTCTGCTGCCTGCATAGCTGCTTTAGCGTATCTGTTTCTGATTGCAAAAGATTCCCATCCATTTGGTTGTTGAATTGCCCTGCTATAGGCTCAATTCAGTGATTGTCCTCATCTTCTCCCCACCTCCCCAACAAATAATTGGAAGCTTATCAAGGATGCTTATGACCAGAAAAGGCAGTGGGTTGGTTGTATATTGAGAGTAAAGGATAAAAATAAAAGATGGACAGCCTGAGTGCTCCATGAATATCCATGAAAAATTAAAAGAACTAGAGGAATATATTTAGAATGTGGAGTAGATCATCTCTGGAGGATTTCTTAAAAGACGTGGGAAGGAATTGTATGGGATGAGAAGTCATGGGTGGTCATTTTCCAAGTCCATATCAATCCTACCTCCACCACATCTTTTCCATCCATCTTCTTCTGTCCATCACACGCTCTGACTCAGGCTTTCATGATCTCTCCCTTGGATTGTGTCAGTAATCTTCTGAGAGCTCTCCCTACACAGCTGTATGATGGATGTAGAAATCCATCTTCCACATTGCTGTCAGATTGATAATCCTAAAACGCAAGTCTGACCATGCCGTTCCACTGCTCAGAAATCCTCAGTAGCTCCTTATTACATTGAGCAGAGGTTCCCAAACTTTCTTGGTTCACACCTGTCTCAATAATTTTTTTGCAGCACCCCTAGGCCAAAAAACAAAACAAAACAAACAAACAAACAAAAAAACCAACCCTAACAGTTCCTTTAATTAAGGAGTTAGGTAGAAACAGCTTAATAAGTATTTATGCCCTAACAATTTAATAGTCATTTTTTAAAAAAATAACACATAAATTGAAAGAAATAATCATTTTCTTTCATTCTTACATAGCCACAGTTACTTCCTAATGGGATTTGTGCCCCTGCTGGGAATTGTACAGCTTCTCAGATTTTGGAATCTGGTTACTGGTACTTCTTTTTATCACGGCATTTCCCCAGAACCCAGCTTCACAAAGACATGATGTAGCAAATGACAAGGTTCAAGAAGTTACTGGCTGGCTCAGAGTACAAGTGAATAAAAACATCTCAAACATTTGAGAATGTCATCTTCATTGAAGTAGCTCAATGGAATGAACTACCTGGTACAGTATCAGATGACAGTATCAGTACAGTATCAGATGACAGATGTCATATATTGCTTTGTTTCCCTCAAAAATTTAAAATATCCCACTGCCCCTGGGATTTGCATGCCTGGGAGTACAGCTTGGGAACTGGACACAGAAGATAAAACATAAAATCTATAATGAGGCTGCTGGGTCTGGAGTCAGGAAGACCTAAGTTCGAATTCTGAGCCTAGCTATATGACTGACTTTGCAACTCACTTAACCTCTGTCTGCCTCAGTTTCCTCAGCTCTTTTGTTCAGTCATGTCTGCCTGGTCATGACCTCATTTGGGCTTTTCGTAGCAAAGATACCTAAGTGGTTTGCTATTTTCTTCTCCAGCTCATTTTACAGATGAGGAAACTGAGGCAAACAGGGTTAAGTGACTTGCCCAGGGTCACCTAGCTAGTAAATGTCTGAGGCCAAATTTGAATTCAGGAAGATGAATCTTCTGACTTCAGGCTGGGTGTTCTACCCACTTAGCAATCTAGCTTCTCCCTTCTTCAACTATAAAATGGGAATAATAATAATACCTACCTCACTAGATTGTTGTCAGGATCAAATGAGATAATATCTGTAAATCACTTACCACGGTGCCTGGCATACAGTAGGCACTTAACAAATGCTTGTTCCCTCTGTTCCTTTCCCCTTAAAAATCCTCTCCAATCTGATTTCCATCTAGCTACATTTCCAGTCTTATTTCATGTTGCTTCTGTCCATGAACTCTCCAATCCAATAAAATTGGCTGAACTTCCTATTCTAGCTTCTGCCTCTTTGTCTTGTTACAGTCTGTCCCTTTTTTTTTTTAAATGCCCTGTCTTCCCGCTTTCTGCCTATGAGTATTGTTGAAACTCTGAGGGACTTCCCCTCCCAGACTGATTCTTTTGTGAAGGCAAACTATGCCATCTTTTGCCTCAATTCTTACCTCGCCTTTAATTACTGAATGGCTGTTGCCTCAGACCAGTTGAGATCTGGGAGAGACCTTAGCTTAAAAAGGCCAAGGTCTTACACCGCATCCAGGGCCATCACTATCATCCTGACATAGGTCTTACCCCTGGACTCTGATGCTGTGGAGGAGACACTGAGGCTGGTGACTTTGCACAGCCCTGCCTTGCTTATATCCAATTCACTTGCAAGTCAACACATCAACGTCCTGACATTATTGGTCCTCTTCGAGAGTAACAGCAGCAGCAATGAGTAGTTGCCTTCTAGGCTCTGCTTGTGTGAAATCTTGCCCAGTTCCAACCCCTCCATCCCACCAAGTTGTCTGGGCTGCTTTCCTCTTCCTCTAATTGTCTCATATTTGCTTTTGTCTTGCATGATTTGTTCTTGTGTCTTGTATTCTCTTGCATTGGTTTTATACGGTTTTATATGTGGTTTCCCTCCGTAGAGGGAGCTCCTTGGGAGTTTGGCGCCTCACTTCCCCATCAAAGCACAGTGCTCTAGGTTTTCTCTTTGATAGATGTAGAGAGCTCCGGGAGAGAAGTTTCCATTAATAATACAGATCTTCTGCTATTCAGTCCTAAAGGGATGCCCAAGGTATTGAGAGATTGTTCTGTGTCACACAGCCATTTTGTGGTAGAGAAAGGAAGGGAATGAGCTTCAAATATCACCTACTATAAAGCCTAGGGGCAGCCAGATGGTGCAGTGGAAGGAGCACCTGGCTTGAAGTCAGGAAGAACTCAGTTCAAATCCAGCCTCAGACACTATCTGTGTGATGAGTCACTTTACTGTTTGCCTTAGTTTCCTCATCTGTAAAGTGAGCTGGAGAAGGAAAAGGCAAACCACTCCGGTATCTTTGCCAAGAAAACCCCAAATAGGGTCATGAAGTTGGACACTGACATGACTGAAATGACTGGACAACAAGTATATACTGTGCTAAATGCTTTACAGATATCATATTTGATCTTCACAACAACTCTATGAGGTAGGTGCTGTTATTATCCCCATTTTATAATTGAGGAAACTGAGGCAGACAGAGGTTATGTGAGTTGCCTAGGGTCACATAGCTAGTAAGTGTCTTAAGACTGGATTGGAACTTAGGTCTTCCTTATGCCAGGCCCAGGCCTCTATCACTGCTCTATTCTTCCTAACTCTTTGGCTAGCTCTGTATCTACTACACCACACTGCTTCCCTAAGAGCTTTGTACATAGTAGGCACTTAATAAATGCATGTTAATTGAATTGCTTATTTAGAAATATGCCCTCAAAGTTATTACACTGTGCATACTCTTTGAGCCAATGCTACTAGGTCAATGCCCAAAAGAGATCAAAGAAAGAGGAAAAGGTCCCATATGTACAAAATACTTACAGCATGTCTTCATCAATTGAATGTGATGGAATAATACTATGTGCTACAAGAAATGACCAAGGAGATTGTTTCAGAGAAACTTAGGAAGACTTATGTGAACTGATACAAAGTACAATGAGTAAAACCAGGAGGATAATATATATAATAGCAGCAATATTGTAAAGACAAATAACTTGGAAAGATTTAGGAACTCTGATCAGCAACTCTGCCAAACACAGCAACCAACCATAATTCCAGACAACTCATAATGAAACATGCTACTCACCTCCAGATAGAGAGTTGATGGACTTGGAGGGCAGATTGGAGCATATGTTTTTGGACCCAGTCAATGTATGAATTTGTTTGACTTGACTCTGCATTTTTGTAATAGGTTTTGTTTATCTTGTTTTCTGATATCAGGTCAGGGGAGGTGGGAGAAAGGGAATATGGATCTGAAAAGAAAATAAATAAATAGAATTTTAAGTAAAATTTAAAATAATATAATTAAAACAATTATAAATTATAAAATAAAATTATTTCTAATAATAATAATAATAATAGAATTTTAAAAATAAATTGAATTGCTTGTTGAAGGCATGGAGGAGTTGCCATCTGTACCAATGGAGGGTGTACTCCCACAAGGAGATCAAACAGCTAAGAATCAAAGTAAAGGAACCAAAACTGGTTTGTTTAGAAAGTGTACATTTAAAAAAAATCACTAAAAGGGGGGAAAGCACATCAAATATCAATTTTGTTTGGAGAATGTTAAAGGGCCTTGAGCAAAGTGGATGTAATGAATGTTTATTTAGTAATTTTTTTTGGAATTCTATTTGACAGTGGCTCCATACTTACACTTAGATGATTAAGGATAGGGAACTACTCATCTTTGGATTTTGTTCAGGAATTCTCCATGACTTTGGGGAACACCTTTGGCGAGCAAAAGTCACAAAACCAGATTAAGGAACCATTATTTAGTCCCATGGGTCCACAAGTCTTTAAAAAATATATATATATATTCTGCATACTGCAAGTGAAGTTTTGATTGGAGGGGGGGCAAATTCCAAGAAATGTCACACAGGGAAGTAAACATATTTAGGCAATGTAAAAAAGAGACTTGAAGACAAGGGATCCTCTCCTCACCATAGCCCCCATGCCACTTATGGGTTAGGTCATCCTTGGGCATCCTTCCAGGAGAAGGCATCCTTTTCCTGCAATTTGACACACCTGGTTACCTTTCAGGATATCTTAGGTGACTGTTTTAAGGGAACTGGGGCTATCACAGGTCAAATCTCCCAGATGGAGGAACCTTCAGTGCAAGGCCACAGGAGTCAGGCCTAATCTAGCTTCCCTGATTCTCCCCCACAGGTTCCCGTGACCTTTGAAGATCTGGCTGTCAAGTTCTCTTCTGATGAATGGCATCTCCTAGAGGAATGGCAGAGGGAATTTCATCGGGATGTGATGAGGGAAAACTATGAGACACTGGTCTCCCTGGGTATGAGGCTGGCAGAGACAGTGTGGTATGGTATCTGGGAATTGTAGCCAGATGGGATTTCCCACAGGATTTCAAGTCATATCTCAGGAGGCTGTGTGATACTAGAAGGCACCTCACATCTTTGTCACCTAGGGCAAGTCACTTCCCCTCTCTTGGGCTTAAATTTTCTTACCTCTAAAATAAGGAGCTTTGAATAAATCAGGGTTTCTCAACCCAGGGTGCATGGGTCTTCAGGTGATCCATGGATAGATTTCAGGGACTGTGCAAACCTGAATGGGAAAAAAAAATACATCTTTATTTTAACTAACCTTTAACTGAAATCTAAATGTTTCTTTAATTATTTAAAAACATTCTGAGAAGGGGCCCATAGGCTTTACCCAGATGGCCAAAGGAGTCCATCATGCAAAGAAGACTTACAGTCTCTAACTAGATGATCCGAGGCCCTTTTCAGCTGTAACATCCTTTGATTTCTGGGCAGAGCAGCAGGGGCTCATTAAATAGCATGTGTGCCAATGAAGAAGAAATGGAGGTATTCCGTGAAGCTGGTTGCCTACCCTTGACTCTCCCTGCCACTGTTTTGGCCTTTTGCTAGGCAGATTTGAACCAAAGGGATTGGTCTATTCAGCCAAGATAAGGGAGGACCTTTCTATATATTTGCTGAGAGAAAAGCAACTTTCTTGCTATATCGCCATTTATCTAAAGGGTTTACTGATGGAAAGACTGTGATTTCCATAGCATTTGGACAAGTGAGAGCTTCTCCTGAGGACTGAGGTGAGATGGGAAAACCTCAAACTAGAACACATGAGTATGTAAAGGAGTATGTGTGCCCAAGGCTTTGTGGATAGGTATATGCCCCCAGTTTTGTATATGTGTGTGGGGGAAGGGAAGGGACTGTATTCATGTTCATAAGCATGTGCATGTTTCTATGCACAAGAGTGGTGCCTGGTTCCCCTTCCCAGAGTGAGGCTTCCTATTATCTTCTTTAGGGACAGCTCAGCTGCTTCCACTCTCTGCATTCCTATCCCTGACAGAACCCCAAGAGGATATGGGGGACAGTGGCTGTTCTGATGGGGAATGGGAGAGGCCTGGTGGAGGACTCCAGGGTAAGTGAAAATGGGCCTCTCCCAAGGTCACTCTGACCATCTCTAGGCATCCTCAGGCTAGATGGGTTCCTGAAACCCCACCACCTGGCCTTCCACCTGGATCTTCTGTCCTCAGCCCCTCTGATCTCAGCTTCTCTCTGTCCTTAGTTCCTCAACCCCAGACTATGAAACATTTGGAGATGTTTTGAGCTGATCCAGGCTTTAGTATCAGTAGCCTGAGTCCATACATGAAAAGCCCCCTGCCAACCCAAGTCTTGAGGGCTAATTTCTTGACTCTTAACCTTCAACTGGTGTCATCCTGGCCATATCTTTGGCAGAGAAATCTGGCAATATGCACACACCTGCCCCTCCTCTTCATCCCAGGAAAAGAGCTGGAGATCTCTGATGCCGATGCCTGTGCAGATACCACCCAGAGGGCTCAAGCCTTGGATGAGGCACAGAGCTCAGGTGGGGCAGGTGAAGGTAAGACTGACCTGACTTAAGGGAGTGGAATGGAAAGGCTGAAGAAAAGGGTCCGTTGTGGCATTCCCCATAAGGTCATGGAGAAGCAAGGGGAGGGGTGGCCACATAGGAATTGAGAGATTTTAGGTTCTAATTCGGGCTGTGTGGTATACATCACTCCTTACCTCCACCTCTTAGGGGTTGTCATGAGGGTCAAATAAGCTAAGACTTGTAAAGTGCTTAGCACAGTGCCTAGCACACAGTAGGTGTTCTATACACGTTAGCTGTTATTGTTATTAGCTATGATCTCTCATTTTCTTCCAGGCTCAGCTCAGGTGCTCTCTCCTTTGTGAAGCCTTTCCTGATTCTTTCCTGCCCCCAATTGTTAGTGTTCTCTTCCTCCTCAGACTATTTTGTGTCTGTAATTATCAGGTGTCTGGGTATATGTTATATTCCTCCCAGTAGAATGTAAGCTCCTTGAAGGCAAGAATGGTTTCATTTTTTTATCTTTGTGCTTCTGATACCTAGCATAGTACCTTGTGTGAGGTTGGCACTCAACAAATAATGAATTATTGAATTATGCTAAGATGTTGGGTGGATCCCTTAAAGTTTCTGGGCCTCATCTTTTCATACGTCATCTTCATTTTTGGCCTGCCTCAAGGTTATGGTGACAAGCAAATGAGATAATAGATAGGAATTGTCTTATCATAATTATTAAATGCTGCTGTTGATAATAACAACAACAACCATAACAATAACAAAGATTATGTTCTTTGAACCTGCCAGTGGGTCAGCAACAGGGCAGCCTTCACCTCAATGCCCTAGTCCGTTTGGTGAAGGAGATTCCAGAGTTCCTATTTGGTGAAACCAAGGCCATGGATACCCCAGAGACCCCTGAGAGCAAGGAAAGTGGTTCAGAGGGGGAGAGACTGAGCTTGGAAGGTGAGTATGGCAACTACAGCAGGTGTTTCCCTTTTACTGCTTTCACTAATTTTCTCTTCTTTCTAGAAGATTTCATTCAGGCCATTGGCCAATCCTGTGAACTGAGCACCTGCTGTGTACAAAGCCACTTGTGGGACTAGAAAAGACACAGTTCCTTCCCCTGAGAAGCCAGATGAATACCTGTCCTTTCTTCTCCTTTCCATGACAGCAGCCATGACTGTGGATGCCAGCCCCCTGCAGGGCTTGCTGAACTGCCTCCCAGAGATCCCTATCAGCAGGCCTGCCTTGGCTGTCACACCTGCCAGCAGCTCATCTAACAGCAGTCTACAAGGGGATGGGGACCAAGAGCTGAGGACCCCAGAGCTGGGACCCCAGACCCTGTACTCCTATGGTGAGACCCCCTGGTTCAGTCCAAGCTAATAGCCCTAGGGACAAGGAACCTCTAAGGGCCTAGGCCAAGGAGTGGGTGAAGACACTGGTATTCATTTGGTCTCCCAACTCCTGATTGATAGATAGCAGGACCTTGAATAGATGCCCTCCTATTTGATAGGCCTAGATTTCCTCTCCTAAAAAAAAATGAGAAAGCTTCCTGCCTAATTACCAGGTGAGTAGTGAGGAAGTTAGGAAATATTTATTGAGCCCACAAAGGTCATAGCAGATGGGCTGTAATGAGACATGGTCCCTTGTCCTCAAGAGACTTCCATTAGAAATAGAGTTGGTCACAAAGGCACACAGTTATCAACAGAGATTATAACTGCATATGAACCCAGAAGGTAGGAGTCGGTTAGTACACATGCATAGTAGCCACAACAATAAATATTTATTAAGTGCCTGTTGTATACAAGGTATGGTGCTAACCCTGGGGATGGGGTGAAGACGGAAGATTAGGTAAGACTTAGTCCCTTCATTCAAGGACCTTACAGTTGGATATACAAGCACCTTACCCTTTGGTAAGGTTTGTCGACACTGATGGTCATGTGCAGTTGCTGTTTTTCCTTTGGTTAGGCTGAGCTCTAAGATACTCTAGAAGGGGAAGGTGCTCTTTAGCACTTTATGGGAACCATCTTGTTCCTTAGAATTAAAACAGAAGGGGAGGCAGCTAGGTGGTGCAGTGCATAGAGCTCTGGCCTTGGAGTCAGGAGGACCTGAGTTCAAATGCGGCCTCAGACACTTGACACTTACTAGCTGTGACCCTGGGCAAGTCACTTAACTCTGATTGCCTTACCAAAAAGCAAAAAAAAAAAAAAGAATTAAAGCAGAAGGGTAGGGAAGAAACTTCTCCTCTACCCCCAGAAGGAGATTCCCAAAGAAGTCAGCCCACACCAAGGCCCAGAGCTCAGCCACCACCTGCTGTCTTGACTAGAATTCATGGGCATATTGAGAGCTGGAAATAATTTCCTGTCTTCTCCGTTATTAGAACCGGCTGCCAAAACTGGTCCCTTGGACATCAGCAGGAATCCTAGTGGGAAAGAAAATCCAGAAACATCAGCTAGCCAGTCGAATACTCCTGGTTTCACTGGCACTCAGAAACAGAAGCAATTGGGGACCATGAGACAAGGTGAGACATCTGCTCTACCACAAATACAGGGATGAATGGACAGACATTAAAGGAAGAAAATAGCAGATGAATTGCCATCTTTAGGTTGGAAGTAGCGTTTTTTGTTTGTTTGTTTTTTTGGTTTTAGGCAATTGGGGTTAAGTGACTTGCCCAGAGTCACACAGCTAGTAAGTGTCAAGTGTTTGGTCTGAGGCCACATTTGAACTCAGGTCCTCCTGACTTCAGGGCCAGCACTCTATCCACTGCGCCACCTAGCTGCCCTCTGGAAGTAGTTTTAAAGTTTGGTTTGGACTTGTTATTTTATTGGTATAGTGAACTTTGGGGATAAACATTCCCTCCACTGATGCAGGTAGGCAGATGTCAGTAATTCATGGTCTTGAGAGCATTGCCTGGGAGCACTTGGGATGTTAAGTGATTTGGTCACATAGCTGGTCTGTGTCAGAAGCAGGACTTGAAACTTTCCACCTCAAGGACCAACCCTCTACCCACTACTTCATGCTGCCTTTTACTTGTTAAAATGATAAATATAAATTTAATTGGTTCCGTTAGTATATAAAATTAATTTCACAATATATTCCTCATTAAAAACAATAATTTATCTGTGTATTGAATCCTTTGAATCTTCAGGAATGTCTCTTGAATTTGATGATGCTTAAAATTTTTCATTTACAAGTTCACTGTATCTGGAACCAAACAAAAAACTTTAAAACTTGGTATGTTGCTAAGCTCGTAAATGATGTTCACTTTTAGGGGCATGATAATATAGAATCAGGATTTGAGGCCTGTCTTACTTCGTTGTGCTTCTAGGGAGCTTGGCATTACTGCAAAGGACTATGGGTAGACTAGATGTTGCTACCTTGAAATCAATTGATCAATCAATAAATATTTATTAAGTACCTACTATGTGCCAGCTGTGCTAAAGACTATGAAAAATTGCCACGGGAAACTTTGCGGCTTCCAAGCCAAACAATGGAAAACTCCCGTTCAACCATCTGTATTCATATCCCATCTTACTTGCTCCTGGAATCCTTCAGCCACTCCCAAATCCATACTAACCTTCATTAATCTTTTTGTCTACTCAGTTTAGTATGAGAGATTATATGATCTTTAACTGATTAATTTTAATTTATTTAATCCAGATTTTGCCCAGCTCAAAGAGTATCTCGTCATGACATTTACGCTTACATTTGTAGAGGGCTTTGCAGTTTGCAAAGCAGTTTCACCTACAACATATCACTTACCTTCCTAATAATCCTGAAAAGTAGATGAGGGTAGACCTATAATCTCCATCTTACACGTGAGGAAACAAACACCAGAAAGGGTAAGTGAATCCCCTAAGGTTGCCCGTCTGGTGAGAAGTGGAACCAGGACTCACACTAGGCCACAGGTCCTCTGATGCTGTGGGCTTGGCATTCTACTAGGATTCTTTTCCATAAACGATTTGGCATGGAACCCGAAGCCCAGCGCACAGAGATGGCTGCAGTGGATGGGGTGAGCTCGTCTGTCTGCAGGAAAGAAGCAATCTGGTTGTAATCACCTAAAATGCCCCTCCCCCAATGGTCTTACTCAATTTGTTTACTCATCTTACTCCTCAAACTTGGTTCCAAGTGACTTTTGGCTTTTTTAAAAAATGAAAGCCACAAAAGGGTGAAGATTTGCCGCTGTGGAGAATATTGAACAGAATGTGGCACTGAAGGCAATTCCAGAAGAGGAGTCCCAGCTCTAAGATTCTATAAGAGATCTGAATGATGGCCTCATTGGAATAGGCTGATGGCCTCGCAAGGAGACAGCTTTGAAGGGGATGTAACCTCCTTTTGAAGTTTGTGTAGAAAAATCAGCCTTGTTTCTTTATCTGCCCCTTCTGTGGTGTCCTTACAGCTCTCTGAGGACAGGGCTTCCCCAGCCTCCCACTAACCAACGTTATTATCTTCCTGCTTTTTACGTCAAAGGAGTTCTTTAGGTCTAATCTCCGACATCCCCCTTAATCACCTGGGACATGCTGCCCTTGATATCACACTGCCTACATTTTAAAAAATGGATACTTTTAAGAATATTGTAGCAGTCAACCTTGGCTTCATTTTAAATTCTGTGAGGCAATAAGGTAGAATAGCAACACCAAATCTGTGTAGAGCACTTTGAGGTTTTACAAAGTACTTTTCCCTTACAGGGAAATTAATAGGTATTAGTAGTATTTTCACTTGAAGGAAGTGAAACACAGAGATATTAACTGTCCTGTCCAAGGTCATACAGCTAGAAAGTATTAGTCAGGATTTTAATCCAGGGCTCCTAAATCCATATCAGTGTTCTTCTTTGCCTTCTTTTAATGTTTTATTAATGCCTTTTGCACCACCATCTTTCCCTAATGTGTATCCCATTGAGCTCCTCCCTGTAACAGAGATAAACACTTAAGTGAAACTGACAAAATGAGAACATACATTCACTTCCATAGGCCCTCACCTCTCATAGATAGGAGGGAAACATCTTGTCATTTGTCCTCCAGGACCAAGATTGATTATGACAGAGTAACTTGAAGGGCCGTGTCTGTTGCACTGACTTTTTGTTTGCTTTGACAAATTCTATAGGAAGTCCTTCTGAGAGCAGCCCTCTCCAAGGCCTTGTCAACTGCCTGAAGGAAATTCTCGTCCAAGGACCCCAGCAACCCCGGCCTCTTGCTACCAGATCACTTCCTCAAAGCAGCCCAGGGGATATGAGACTAAAGACCCCAGATCAAGGACCCAGGGACCCACCCTGGGCTGGTGAGTCACCTACAGCCAGTATCCCTGAGGGCCCTATCTCTGAGGCCAAACCTCCTACGTCCTGGGCTCCAAGAAGAAGGTGGCAGAGATGTTGGTCCAGGCTTGGCTCTGTTTTGTGTTCTTGGAGTTGGGGGTGATGATGAGGGGAAAACTTGAGCTAGAAAGTTGGAACCTGTGTGTGATTTAAAGACCTCTAAGGAAGAGAGAGCTGAACCAGAGTCCCCACCCTCCTTTTTCAGTCTGATTTACCTGTGAACTGACCATGACCCACCCACTTGGGGGGGGGGGGGAAGAGGATGGCCAGTCCTCCTGTGCCTGTCCAGTTATCCAATGGTCCAGTATGTCTGTCTATATATTGGACCAGTCCACAAGAATTTACGGAGCACTTACTATATTCTTCATGCTGATGTACAATAATTTTAGAGGATAGACTTGTGATTTCATTGGCATTGGAAACTCCTTCTGCCAACATAGGTCTGCACCATCTCTGTGATTTATAATCTTAAAGAATTGTCTCAGGTTAAGTGACTTGCTCAAGGTCACATAGACAGTGTGTGTATGTATGTCTGCCAAAGGCCGGACTTGAGCCCTGGTCTGCCAGGTTCTGAGGCCAACTCCTTACTCACTACACTCCTTTTTATTTAAAGTCATCCAGCTTTTTTTCTTATTAATATTAAATACATACTTTATGTTCATTAAAGTTAGGGTGGCTAGTTAGAAAGAGAGTGACCTTGATGTCAGAACGCACCTGGGTTTAAGTCCTGACTCTGACACATACTGTCTGACTCTGGGCAAGATACTTGAGCTCTCAGGGCCCCAGGAAACTCTGTAAGATTGTAGATTATGGAACAGGTACAGACCTACGGGTGGAGAGAATTTTTTCACTGGGAGTTCCATGTACCAATTAAGCCACAGGTATGGACAAACAGAATATTCTTTGTCTATACCTACATATACATATATATCAGATGGTCAAGGGTCTCTAGAGGAAATGACATTGACTAAAGTTAAGTAGTTAATTTTTGGCTCCCAGGCATAGGAAAACTACCCAAACCTACCAACCTCACCAGCCTGCTGCCCCAAACTTCCATGTATTATTTGTGATGCCTTCTTCCTTTTAACTTTGTGTTACACTATTACATCTGTTTCCCGACTTCATCCCCAGAAAACAACCTTGTGGAGCAAGAAAGACTGGTATTGTTCTTGCTGTCTTTCAGATGAGGAAACCGAGGCACTGGACTCTTCCCCTCTCCCAACCCCTATCTCTGCCCATTACACACTCTACAGTACCTGTGACTGAGGGTCACATAGCCAAAGACTATGCCTGTGGGGTTTTGGCTGAAAGTCTATTCTTTCTTCCCTTAGTGAAGGCAGAAACCATTTCAGAGAATTCCCCACTCCAAGGCCTGCTGAACTGTCTTAAAGAGATTCCAGAAAGTCAAGCCAGATGTGCTGGTCTCCCAGGAGGAGGAGTGCAGCAGCAGATAGGTGGTCCAGGGACTTGGCAGAAGGGTTCTGGAGGTAAGGTGTGGGTCATCATGCACATAAACCTTGGACTGTAGAGTGTTGGGGCTGGAGTCAGGAAGACCTGAGTTCAAATTGAGACTTAGATACATTCTAGCTATGTGACCCTGGGAAAATCACTTAAACTATCTGCCTCAGTTCCCTTAACTGTAAAATGAAGATAATAGCACCTCCTCCTAGGTTTGTTGTGAGGATCAAACAAGGTAATATTTGTAAAGTCTTCAGCACAGTGTCTGGCATGTAAGAGGCACTTAATAAATGCTTGTTTTCCTCCCTCCAAACAAGCCTATACCTAACCTAGATAAATGACCCTTAGTGCTCTTCGAGTGCTGTCTAGGGATAAAAGTGAACCTGGTTCTGAGCCAGTCATATGCATTTAGCCAAGTATATACAGAGTATATCATACGTACTCAGAGAATACCTCTTGTGTGATTGCTTGTTCCATCCCTGTATTAGGAGTTGTGATCGGAATTAAGAATGAGAAGGCCCAGACTCTGACCTCCAGGAGTTCACAGGAATTTAACGAGAGAGAGAGAGAGAGAGAGAGAGAGAGAGAGAGAGAGAGAGAGAGAGAGAGAGAGAGAGAGAGAGAGAGAGAGGACATAAAGGAAAGGGGAAAAAAAAAAGAAAAGGGAAACAAGACAACATTTTTTTTTCATTCAGCACTCAGACACTGGCACCTACAGATGGGAATTAAAGCATGGAAAATCCTAGAATTATTGAGGTTTGACTTTGGACCATACAATCATATTTAATTAACTTGCATTAATTTCTCTTCTCCAACCTTCATTTATTCATTTGCTATTTTATGTGGAAAAGGGATTAACTTTATTCTCTATGGCTCAGGAAGGGTTGGAAGTTTCAGGGTGGTATGCTTCAATTCAGTATTTTTTAGAAAACTTCCTAACAAGGAGCAGCATAATTCAGTAGAGATCAATCAGTCAGCAAGTGTTTGTTAAGAGCTTTCTATGTGCCCAAGATGTCAGGGGGTGGCCCAGGTTACATGCCTGTGGGCTGAACTAGATTAAAATGTGACCGGGAAACATTTAAATAAATAAATAAAACACAAATAATATTAATTTGTGGCTTTCTAAATCAATATCCTGCTGTTTGTATTTGAGTTTGATATCACTGCTGTATGCTATACATTGTGCTAGGTGGGGGATAGAAGTACAAAAATTTGACATTCCTTGACCTCAAGAAGCTTATATTCTACTAGGTAAGGGGTTTCTACTTTGAGGGTATGTCAGCTTGTTCTTTTCTTAAGGTATTTTGAAAACTATTTCAGTGTAATTGGTTTCCTTTGTGATCCTGTGTTTTATTGTATGGATTTAAAAATATTATTTGAGAAAGGATCTATAGGCTTCACCAGACTGCCAAAGACAGCCACAAAAAAAGTGAAGAACTCTTGGATTAGAGGGGTATGACATATTGGTGGCTGGAGAAGGGAGCACTAGTCTGTTTAGCTTGATTATTGTCTCCTGCACAAGAGGAGAAAAGCTAGGAGTTGGGGGAGGTAATAGGTGACAGCAGGGCAGGTGGTAGGATGTCTGCATCAGTTAAGCCCTGGTGTGTGACATCTGAATGGGACGAAGCCTGGAGTAGGGGCTGGCTAGACTTAGTGAGAATTGACTCATTTGCTCTCCGATCTAGGGCAATGCCCAGAATGTGTGTGGTAGGGCAGGGTCTCTGAAGGTCTGTGCCCAGAGAGGTGGGCAGTGGCAGAGAAGATGGAAAGTGGCCAAACTGGCCAGCCTGTGGTGACCTGGTGGAAAGAGTACTGGCTTTGGAGCATGAGGACCTGGTTTGAACTTCTGATTGGGCTGATTACTAGCTGAGCCATCTTGGGTGATTCACTCAACCTCAGTGGACCTCAGTTTCCTCATTTATATAATAAGCTCTCCACTAAATCTGCAGCCTATGATTCTAATGAATTAAAGTCAACTGGAAATGAAGTTTTCTGCCTTATGGGGTGGTGAATTTCCCATAGGATGAGAGCTAAAAAGCCTTAGAGGCTCAACTTCCTCGTTTTACAGTGAGGAAACTGGGTCATGGAGAGATTAAGTGACTTCCCTGTAGACACACAGGTAGTAAGTAGATCTGAGATTCAAACTCAGGTTCTCTGACTCCAGTTTATATGCTTTTTCTATTACAATATAATACTATACAATATTATGCTATACAGTACTTTTCTAGGGGCTTTTGAGTGAAGGCCAGATCAAGACTTGTTGGAATATTTTTGGGTAGGGGCTGGACGAGATGAACTCTGAGCTCCTAACTCTGATTCTGATTGTTTTCATTCTACAGGGGGTTAAAAGAGAGAACCCTGCATCACCTACCCTTTCCATTTACTAAGGGACAGCAGCTCATTTGTAGCTACATAGCAATAGATATAATTGGAATCTATTTCTCCTAATAAGTGAGATAATACAAGAGGGATCTTTGTGTGAGGCTGTTAGCAAGTATAAATTAATGTGTTAATGAGGTGAGAATGACAGTGCAAGTTAGCTTGCAGAGTTGCTGAAAGGTGGTGATTTTATTTAGGATTTTCTGTGTCTTTTCAAGTTTCAGGTCTGGGCCTAGGAGAACTAAGCGTCTGCTGCAGCTTCCAGTCACACTGTTTTAGGGCTGATGGTTAACTAGAATGTCAAATAAATACACTTGTTTCTTTTCTGAGTCTGCTTATAGCAGTTACCACAGTTTGTGGCCAAGCGTAGGGCCAATAGCCAACAGAGGGCGGTTAGGAAAAGCTAGAGAAGCTAGGGGGGAAAAAAAGCTAGAGAAAGCTAGAGACTTTTTGATTGTGAGCAAGAATTGAGAAGTTGGCTCTGCCTTCATGGTTCTCTTTCTACAATTCAGTTCAACAAACTTTTACACAATGCCTACTCTACATAGATAACAAGGTACTAGGCTAGCTTTGGGGGATATAAACATTAAGTATGATTCAGTCTCTGTCTTCAAGGAACTTATATTCTACCAGATTGGGGAAGGCAGTGGAAAAGTACAGTCTATACACAGATAAGATAAGCTCTTCCATCCAGGAACACTGATCTCCTGGTTGTTTCTTGAACAAGACTGTGCATCTCTCCGATCAGGGATTGGCTCTGGGTGTCCCCATTCCTAGAACACTAGCCCTCCTTCACTCCACTTACTGACCTACCTGGCTTCCTTTAGGGCCTAACTAAAATCCCACCTTCTACAGGAAGCCTTCTCCAACACCTTTCATTCCAGTGCCTTCCCTCTGTTAATCATTGCCTATTTATCCTGCTTTTCATTTGCTTTGGATATATTTGCTTTGCATACACTTGTTTATATATTATCTCCCCTATTAAATTGTAAGCTCCTTGAGGGCAGGGACTGTCTTTTGCCTTTTTTTGAACCCCTAGCACATAGCACAGTACCTGGCAGTAGTAGGTGCTTAACAAATGCTTATTGATTGATTGATAAGTATAATACAAGGTAAGGAAACAATGAGGAGACCAAGGAAATTTCCAGACACAGTTCTCTAGGAAAACTTGAGGAGGGAGGTCACTTTTACCTGGAGTGAGGTATTAGAGCAGAAGGAATAAGGGAAGGCTTCAGGAAGAAGGTGTTATCCGAACTGAGCGTTGAAGGAAGATAAGGTTTCCAAACAGTAGACATGGAGAAGGGAGTTCATTTCAGGAATGTGGAAAGGCTTTCAAAGTGCAGATTTAGGGAGCTGTTGGTGGTGGTTTGGTTAGAAAGTTTAATTGGAGCCAGAATGAGGAAGGACTTAAATGCCAGACTAGGGAGCTTGTATTGTATTCTAGGGAGCCACTGAAAGTGGTTGAGTAGGGGAGTAACCCAGATCTGTCCCTCAGGAAGATTATTTCTGTAATGTTGTGGAGATTGGACTGGAGAGGGGAGAGACTGAGGTAGGGTGACCACTGAGCTGAGCTGGGAAAGCTAAGAACAACAAGGATTTGGACTTTTCTCAACATTTTTGGGGAAAAGAAGTGAAAGCACTGCTTCTGGTATAGTTAGGAGGACGATAATCCGAACTGCAGAGAGAAGACAGAATTGTTCAACATTCAGGCTGGAAAGGATGGAACAAAAATACCTAATAAAGAGTTTGCCAGCCAAGAGGAGTATAGGCCCAGCAAGAGAGCAGCTTGGTGCCCCTGATGAGTTCACATCACCAGGCCTAGAAGAACTACATTTCCCAGGAGCAAAAGAACTGGCAGACATGATCCTGAGTCACTCTCAGGAACCTTTTTAAAATGATAGAGAAATAGAGCCTGGGCACAGAGAAAGAGAAATCTGCTGAGTTTTTTTTTTTTAAGGAAAGAATGAAATCAGCAAACTATAAGTCAGTACATTGATGCCAGTGGAAAGAGAACTGGATTCAGATTCTAGGATCACGGTTCAAATCCTCTTGTCTATGTGACCTTGAGAAGCTACCTTGCTTCTTTGAGTTGCTGTAGGGTGATGGGCGAGTGCCTTTGTCCATTAGTGCAGACCCTAAAATGAAGAGGTTAGATTAGATGACCTTCAAGTTCCATTCTAACTCAAAACACATGATTCTTTGTATAAGTAGAGCATATATCAGATTGCACACCGTCTTGGGAGTGGGGAAGGACAGAGAGGGGGAGAAAATTTAAAACTCAAAATCTTATGGAAATGAATGTTGAAAACTAAAAATAAATAAATAAATAATTTATTAAAGAAGACACACATGATTCTTTCTGCAGTTAAGATAGAAGGAACCAGCGAGGATACTTGGGCCCACAGCCCTCCGAGCTACATCCCTGACACTCCTACTCCTGTGTTCAGCAAGCTCAGTGCACATACCCATGGCTCTTCCACTAGTAGCAGCGTGGAGGGTGATGGGAACATCGGGGGTCCAGAGGGGCCAGGTTGGACCCCAGTGAACCAAGGTGAGCCCTGGGCACTGGTTCAGCAGAAGGCATGCCTGAAGTGCATTAGTTTGAGATGGGTACCTCATTTTCCTTGTCTGTCTGTGAACTCCCAGTTTAAATCTTCCTGTTCATAAGAACTCTTGACAGTAAATAGAGAAAGAACTGGTTGTCCCTCCCTGGAAATAAAGCCTGTCCTTTCATTTTCCAGTAGTTTATTACTTATTTGAGAATCCCAGAGACCTTAGGCTCTGAAAGCTCTCCATAAATTTTCTGGTTTCTGCCTTTATCTTGAGAAAGAGCAGAACTGAAATCACAGGGAAGGACATTTGCATATTCCAATGGGCGAGGAATCCCTAGTGTTATGGAAATATACCCTAATCTCTACCCTACATCCCTCATACTGCAGATTAAGCCCACTTCTTGCTCAGTCTTAAGTGAAGGTACAACATGATGTAACCAAAAAGAGTAATGGCCTGGAAGCCAGAAGATCTGGGTTCTAATTCTAGGTCTATCGCCTAATAGCTGTGAGACCTTGGGCAAATCACTTTCTGTCTCAGTGTTTTCATTTGTGAAATGAGGGAGCTGGATTAGATCATCTCTAAGGAGCTTTTGTTCTGATTTGCTGAGCTGGAGAAAAGCTAGAAACCATGAATATAGTGATTCTGTATGGACCTTAAGATAGTTCATGTTTCCTTTCCTTTACTCCTTCCATATTCAGGCTACTCCCTGCTCCTTTGTGCCAACATGCTAGCTGTTTTCACAGCCCTCTTTTCTGTAATGATTTAATGACTGAGATGAAGTTAAAGTCCCCCATCTTCTTAGTCCTTGTTCTAGAGCTGAGCATGAGGCACTTTGATTATCCCTGCATCGTTAGATAGGAGATTCAATATTGCCCATAAGGGCATTCCTTACACACTGGCTTCCCCAGGGCCAAGTTCTTCTTGTGTCCTTATGTTGAGGCCTGGGGTCAGGGATGGTGTCGTGCACCCACGGCATCTTGCTGGTGATGACGACTGTACGGGGATGTCTCTTGTTCTAGCTGGCAGTGCCCAGAGCTCACCCTTGGAGGCCCTGGAAACCTATCTGAAGGACATCCCCCTGAACAGATCATTCCGACCACAGCCACTGAGCAGCTGCTGGTGCCTGAGCCCTGGGCAGGTGGAGACAGTTCAGCGAAGGTCTGACCCACGGGCCTGGAAGTGGCACATGGAGGGTAAGCGTGTGGTGTTTGTCACAGAGGCAATGATAGATATTAAGTGATGAGGGAGAGAGAGGCCTATCTAATGCTAACTGGGGCACCCCACAAAGCCTCAGTTTAGTTCGTCTTTGTCTCCTACCCCAGCACCCTTTCCGGTTTCCCTTCAAAAACCCTAGTCCCCATCAAATACCCAGGGCGCCCATGTGGTTCCCTGATCCGATGATCCTGCAGAGTTCTAAAGAGAGAGGCTTCCCCTGCCTACCCCACCCCACCCCGCCCACCCCAGACCACCCCTCAAGCTCCTCTCATTAAAAGGCATCTGTCCCATTCCAGTCCCACAGGGCCTTCAACATTCTGCAATTGAACTTGGTAAATGAATGCTTGCTGAGTATGTGAAAGAGTGCAAGTGGGTCAGTGGGTTACCTCATCCAAGCAAGAGTCACATGTTAATAGTGGCCTTCAATGCCTTAACTGGAAGGAGTGACTGGGACTTTAGGCCCCATGTACCTATGGCTGTCAAAGAGATGTTTTGAGCCATGGATCAAACAGTACCACAGAATTAACTGGCTTCTCTACCTGCTCTTTGGATTGTTCCTGATGGTGGTGCAGTAGAAAGCATGGCAGATTGGAGGCCAGAGGACCTGGGTTTGGTCCCAGCTCTGCTCTTTGTGTGATCTCAGGCAAGCCACTTCATTTCTCTAATGTTCCTCATCTGTAAAATGAAGGGGATGGACTAAATGTCCTCTAGGGCCCCTTTCCAACTCTTCATTTCTGATCCCATGATGCTGGACTGGTCTTGTATTCTAGATTATAATTGAATCTGGGAACCTTTGCTTCATGCTGGAATAGACAAAGCTAAGCCATCTCATCTTCATGCATTCCTGAGGGTGCTACAGTGTGTTTCTAATCCCTGTTTCCCCACTCTGGGAGGGATTTTTCATCTGGGCAGATCAATAAGGATTATTTCTACACCAAAACCTTGATGATGGTGGTGTGTTTTTCCACACAGCAGTGACCACAGGTTCTCTCCCTCCGCTGGGGCCACATGGCTGTGTGAAGGATCTCTCTGCTCGCCGCCTGGGCCACCTTAACACCCCCAGTAGCTTCTCCTCAGCCAGCAGCACAGATGGGGACCTGGATCTCAGAAGCCCAGAAGGGAGTCGGGGTCGATGGTGCAGAGAAGGTGAGCTGGACCTCCCAGGTCATGTCTGCAGTTATTCAGATGGGATGAGAGTGAAAGATGAGGTGGGGGAGATAGGGGTGGTTTGGATCATCTGGTGAGGAAAAACTTTGAGGAATCATTCCATCTCTATCCCTATCCCTGTCACTGGCTAGTATTTCACCTAATCAACAAGGCACAGCTGTCTAGGGAGTGCTTGAATAACTGAGTGAGGAACCAAATTGGTTCCTGCCCAGAAGGAGATTCCAGTCTAATCACACAGCCCATTAAAGGATGTAAACAGCAAGGCCAAAGGTGACTCTGGGGTTTCCATTTCTAGAATAAGGCTCTCCTCCCTCACTAGAGTCTCCTTTGGCTTTAATGTTTACCAAAACTTGCCTCTGCCCTGAGTTCACCACATTCCTTGCAACCTTCTCTTTCAGAGGTCGTTCCTGGGTCCACTCTTCATCTCACAGAGCCACTCTCAAACACCATTTGTAAACTGGACATAAAAAAACCTAGCGTACACACACCTTGACCTCCGCTGCCACTTCCAGAGACCATCCTTCAATTTGGTTTTCTCTTTTAAAGTCCGTGTAATTCACTTGTACCACTACCCTTGTTGCTGCCATCTAATGACCCTCCAACTCATTCAGGGACTTGAGCACCACCTGGCTCCTGTGCTCTGTGTCCCTCATTCCCCATCCCCTTGGGAGATCAGACATAAGTATTAATATTGGCAACTACTCTAACGGTCTGACCACACAATTCTTCAACCTCCTCCACTCTAATGATTTCCATTGATGCCTCACTTAAGCTACACACTGTAACAGTTGGGCCTGAGACCTTATCATCTCTTGGGATTGTATCAACTGTAAGGTCAAAATTTTAAATCCTACCTTCCAGATTCTAGCTCTTATCCTTATGTGTCTCCCACTCCCTTGCCCTTACAACAAGCCATCCTTCATCTCCTGGTCTTTGTTCCCCTCGCCTTGTACCTATCCTTGACTCCATATCCTTCCACTTTAAAGTTTTACTGCCCTAGTCTCTTGCTTCCTATTTCAGCCTCATCTCTGGGTAACCCCCATTATCCAATTTACTTACAAAATCGCAGTATGTTATCTCATTCAAACAGGTCCTTGGCACTGTTTGAGAATCAAAATCACAGAATCACAGAATCTCAAAGTTGGAAAAAGACCTCTGAGGCCATCTAGGCCAAACCAGTGGTGCCTGAAAAGAACCCTTCAGTGCTCTTTTTTTTTTGCCGTTGTTCTTAAACTACAAACATTTCCCTTTAACCTTCCCCCTGCAGTGAACTCTTCCTTGAATTTAAAAAAAGAAAAAAACTTTTAAGCAGAATTGACTGACACAGTGTAGTATCTAACAGCGTATACCACATTCTGCATCCATAGTCTCTGCCTCTCTACTGAGATGAGGAAGGAACCTTTTATCAATTCTCTAGGACCAAGATTGGGGCAGCTAGGTGGCACAGTGGATAAAGCCAGGAATAGTCAGGAAGACCTGAATTCAAATCTAGACTCAGACACTTACTAGCTATGTGACCCTGGGCAAGTCACTGAACCCTGCTTGCCTCAGTTTTCTCATACGTAAAATGAGCTGAGAAGGACATGGCAACCCACTCCAGTATCAGCCAAGAACACCCTAAATGGGGTCATGAAGAGTCAGACATGACTAAAATGACACAGAGACAACAAACGACCAAGATTATTCAACCAATGACATTTTAAAAAATTTATTTTTATAGGTCTTTTAATTTATAGTGATAAAAAAAGAGATTGTACATGAAACATTAGATCTCTCTTATGAACAGCTTGCTTTTCTTTTTAAGTATATAATAAATTCAACTTGGAATTTTCAAAGCTGTCTTACTTGTCTGTGCTTCTTTTTGGCCTTCTTTCTATCTTCTTCTCTGCATTGAAAAAAAATTAGACAACAACCCTCTTTTTTCTTTTCTTTTTTATCATTGACCTCCTTGAGGTATAGTAGTGGAATTTTCCTTCTAGCCCTTTAGCTGTTCCTTTCCTGTCTCCTTCGCTGGCTCATCTTCTTTCTAGCCTTTCAGTCTATTTCCCGAGAAGTTCTGCTTGCTACTTGGTTCTCTTCTGTCTTGGCAGTCACATCCACTCCCAAGGCTGTTGAACCACTTCCATTTAGATGTTTCTCCGATATTGGCTTCAGTCTTGTTTCTTCATCTATCCTCCAGACCCATAGGTCTGTGTAAACCCATCTGTTTGCAGGATATCTCCACCTGGATGTCTTCCAGATAGTTCAAACTCAACATGTCATAGTCTGAGGTCATTAATCTCCTAAACTTCTTCCTTCCAGTTCTGCTATTTCTATTCATAGTGCCGCTATAATTGACCTTTTCTCCCCTCCTTGAAGGCTCAGGGTTATCCTTGACTCTTCCTTTTCCCTCAACACTCATATACAAATAGTTACCTAGTCCTCTAGATTCCACTTTCTACAACTTCTTTCCCAACCGTCCATCCCCTATTGTCTGTTTCCGCTGGCCCTCGTTACTCCTTGCCTGAATTCTTAAAAAAAAAAATCACAGACTAGTTATCTGGAAGGGATAATTTTATCCAACCCCTTTCTTTTACATATGAATAAACTGAGGCCCAGGGAGGTGGTATCTTGACAACATCACACTGCCAATAGTAGAAGGTGGATTTAAATGCAGGTCTTCTCACTTTAAATACCATGCTATTTCTACTATATCTGCCTCTTTACAGGTCTTCCTACCACAATTCTCTCCTTACTCCAGTCTATCCTTCATACCACTACCAGAATAACCTCTTCTATACAAAATTTTAGTGTAGTTTTAAGTTTTAATAACTAAGTCTGCTGTTGTTCAGTCACGTCCGACTCTTTATGACCCTGTGGGCCAAAGCACACCAGTACTGTCCATAGAGTTTTCTTGGCAAAGATACTGGAGTGATTTGCCATTTTCTTCTGCAGTGGGTTAAGGCAGGGAGAGGTTAAGTGACTTGCCCAGGGTCACACAGGTAGTAAGTGTCTGAGGCCAGATTTGAACTCAGGTCTTCTTGACTCTAGGACCAGCACTCTTATCTATTGAGTTACCTAGCTACTTCTCAGGTCTGATATAGGTCTAATCCAGTTTTTCTGCTCAGAAAAGCTTAAACTCTTCTGTCACTTAAGAGCTTCCCCAATCTGGTATCACCCTACCTTAATATCTTCTGTATTTTCTACATTCCAGCCAAACTGCGCTGTTCTCCCCCACCCCCCACGTCGCTCCCCAGCTCGTGCCCAATATGGTTCTATACCTTTGCTCACATTGTTTCCTAGGCCAGGAATGTTCTGCTTCCCTCTCTTTATTTGTTGAATTCAGCTCCTCTTTCAAAGCCCATCTCATCCAGAAAGCCTTTGATTCCTCTGACGTTAACAATCTTTCTTCCCTCAGGTATTGCGTTACACTTTGTAACCCTCTAAAGCACTTATTAGGTAATATTGTGTATTATAGACTTCTCTGTTTGATGTCTTATTCCTCTAACAGACTTTAAATTTCTTGAGGAGCAGAGACATGTCTTACCTAAACTTTATATCTCTACCAGTACCTAGTACAGTGCTCTGAACATAGTAGGCACTTAATAAATGTTTGTTAATGTATACTGTCCACAAAACGATGCCAGGACCAACGAGGACTTTTGGTGCTACTTTACTCTGGTTTGCCGCAAATGAATGGTCATGTGCTCATGGATCTCAGACAGCCTGGGCAGAGATTTGGTGGATCAAAGCCCCAAGAATTGCAGACTCAGAACTGCATAGATAAAGCTGAGACTGTTTGGTTTCTGCAGCAAGTCCAGTTGGGAGCTCTCCCCTCCAGGGCCTGGAGAACTGTCTGAAAGAGATCTCCACAAACAGGCCCCACCTCAGCCAGCCTGCCTCGTTGGCACCAGCGGGGGATGGGAAATCGAGAAGAGTGGAACCCAGGTGCTGGACTTCAGACAAGGAAGGTAAACCAGAGATTACCCTGGGGGTGTGTGTGTGTGTGTGTGTGTGTGTGTGTAGTAGTGTGTACTTATGTCCATGGAAGCAGGGGAAGACAGGTCCTAACACTTGATGAAGTGAACACTTCTCTTTCAGAGACCTGTGATCTGGTCCAGGATTTAAGAGGAAAAAAATCCTATTTCAAAAGACTTGTCATCCAAACCTAAGTCAGACTTCATCCTTAGGAGTTCATTCTAACTTGAGCCAGCCCAATACTTTGCCATTTTGGAGAAGAGGAAACTGAGGTCCCCTAAATTGACTTGTCCAAGGGCATACAGGAGATGTCACAAGTGGGACATGAAGCCAGATCCTCTACCTGCAGGGCCAGTCCTCTTTCCTGCCCAAGCAGAATGAACTTGTCCTTTGATTTTGCCGGCGTGGCACTAACGTTGACTGGTGCTGGCTTTGTGGGCTTTCTGTGCTGCCTTTATCTACATTGTTGTAGTAATTGTCAGTTCTTTAGACTCCATTCTCTTTGCCCTCAACAACTTTCTACAGGCCCCCGGGTTTCTCTCAATTCTTCACCACCATTCCTTCTGTTGGGTTGTTTCCACTATATCACAAGGTACCTCAGGGCTGGCTTCTAAGCCTTCAGCGGCATCAGTGGCCTCTGTGCTTACCAACTAAGTCTTTCAATTCTGGGTGAATTGGCAGGACTGGCTGTGCTATTCCTTCACTCTCAAATGTCCTGGCCCATTTCCCAGGGGGAAGAAAAAGGGCCATGTCTAGAAGCAAAGAGTATCCTGGAAGACTCTAGGGTCCAGAGCCCCTGAGAATATGAACTAACTTTTTAAAAATTAGTATTTTTTTCTAATTACTATTCATTGATTTTCTTACCTTCCCACTCCCTCCCCCCTTTCCATTAAACAGTTTAAGAACAAAGAAAACCAAAAGCCTCATAACAAATATGCATAGTACAGCAAAACAAATTTCTGCATTGGCCATGTCTAAAATAGATGTCTCTTCACTTTAAGTTGATCACCTCTCTCACATAAGGTATAGGTAGTATGTTTAATCTTTAGTCCTCTGGAATCGACACACTTTTATCCTTTAAAACTTAGTGGCTGAGAATGGAGCCAACAGGTCTGACTTTCTTATTGCAAACAGGACTGGGGGGTGAGCCCCATGACTCCCTCTGCGAGAGGCAAGGTGGAAAGAAGGCGCCTTCAGAGAGTCTGAACCCTGGCAGCCCACAGACCGGAGTCTACAGTAGCTCCTTTGCTCTCCACCACACTGGGGACAGAGACAAGACAACTGAAGCAGGGCCTTGGAAGTGCCTTGGGGAAGGTAAACTTCGATCTCTTTGTATGTATGTCCTAGTGGTTCCATTACGGTATGAACTTCTTGAGGCCAATATTTTATCTCTACCACATTTCCTTGTCAACAGGGCTCCTTCTTCAAAAAGAATTGAAAGACAAAATAGGACTTCCTGCCCCCCATTCCCCTCTATATTTTTCCTCTCTGACCACCAACTGTAGCCACTCTGAAAGTTTAGCAAGAGAAGTTAGAGAGCTTTGAATGATGATAATTGTGGAAAGTGAAGGGTGTTTAAGAACTGTGTGGTGCGTGTATAACCTGTATCAGATTGCTTGTCTTCTCACTTGAAGAAGGGAGTGGAGGGAGGGAGGGAAAGAATTTGGAACTCAAAAATTTTTAAAAATAAATGTTAAAAATTGTTTTTACATATGAATGGGGAAAAAAATAAAATATTAAATTACACAAAAAAAGAACTGTGTGGTGCAGTCAGGAGAACCCCGAATTTGGAGTTAGAGGGCTTGGGTTTCAATCTTGGCTCTGCTACTTAATAATAGCAACAGCAGCAACAGCAGCAGCAGCAGCAGTAGCAGTAGAAATAGTAATAGCTAGCATATGGTGCTTTAAGCTTTGCAAAGTATTTCATATTATCTAATTTGAACCTCACAGTGACACTATGAGGTAGGTCCTTTTATTATTCCCATTTTACAGATGAGGAAACTGAGACAGATAGGTCAAGTGACTTGTTTGGGGTCAAATATCTGAGGTGAGATTTTAATGTAGGTCTTCCTGACTGCAAGCTCAGTGCTGTATCCACTATGTCACTCAGATGCCTTCTTGTTAGGTATATGACCTCAGGCAGATCGCTGGGCTCATTTTTCTCATCTGTAAAATGAAAAGGTTGGACCAGATACTCTCCATCATCCACGCTAGCTCGAATTTTTAAAAATGTATCAATCAAGTATTTATTAAATGTCTACTTTGTGTAAAATTATACCATAAACTAGAGATACAAAGACGAAAGTCCCAATTCTAAATTCTCCAACCTTAAGTGTGACTTCTTTAGCTGTTCTTACCAAGCCTCCAGAGGCTCCTCTGTGGGAGAAGCTATGGTCTTGGCTGAATTCCTCTGGGTCCCCTCTGGTCAACAAGAAGAGCCTGATCTAATTTAGCAGAACAATTCCCTCCAGCTTTAGGCCCAGTAAAAGATCTATTAAAGATAGGAAGATGGTAATGGGGGATAAAAGTCTTTATTTCTTTGCATCCCCATCCTATCTGTCTTCCTTGTACCCATCTCTGGCACTTGACAAGTGCTGGGCCTTTGGTAGACAGCCGGTCCCGGCCTCTGGATACCACCTTCTCTGAGGGGGTATGAGCACTGTTTTCTAAGCGAGCCAATGGTTTTGGCCTGTTCTTGTTTGCCCAGGGGCAGCCTCCAAGCCCTCTCCACTTCGATGTCTGGAAAACTCATTGAGGGGGATCTTGGCCATGAGGCCCCTACGCTTCACCTGTCTGGCCAGCCCCAGTCTTAGTTCCAGCTCTAGCCCCAGCTCCAGACACAGCAGCAGCAGCAGCAGCAGCAGCGGTGGCGGTGGCTCAGAGGGAGAAGAGCAGAGGTTGGAGCCTGAGCTGTGGAGAGCTCGTCTCAAGGGTAAGTAAGTTCTTTAGTGGGATGAGAGGAAGAATGAGGCGGAGAAGTTGGGGCATCCCTAGCTCTGACACTGGGTTTGGTTTCTGTTGACAGAGTGTTCCCTCTTCCCCATCCCTCGGGGGCCTGTCTCTCAGGCCAGCAGCCATCCCAGCCCCCTCACGAGCAGTACCGATAGCCCCACAACAAACAAAGATCAGAGGAGGACCGAGCCTGGGGACTGGAGAGCTCTCAATGCAGGTGATCTTTGGAATTTCTTACTGAGGAAGAAATGGAGGGGACATTGTTCTCTTTAAGAGAAGGAAAAAGAAAAAAATATATGTACAGTAGAGGAAAGCCATGAGCTCTCTTCCTAACTGTTGGGGACTTACTGACCTATTTCCAAGCAGACTGTATTTTCTTGTCTCGGTTTTCTTCTGTAAAATGGGAATGGTCAGATTGGCTTAGATTCTAGGCCTAGAGGAGGAAGATTAGTCTAATAGAGAGGTTAAATGTCATGCCTAGGGTCACACGGCTTGCTCATTATTTCAGACAAGATTTGAACTGGGGGTTGTCTCAACTTCAAATTCAAATCTTTATCTACTAGGCCACCTAGCCACCCGCACATTACTGTGATAATTGTATAAATCATTCTGGTTTTGCTGAGCCTTGTTTTTCTATCCCAGCTCTGAAAGCAGAGGAGACTTTGGGCTATAGCCCCAGGCTCCATGGGAAGGATGTGCCTGCAGAGACCTCCGGTGGGTTGCACACCCCTGGCAGCACTGAAACAGGTGAGTATTAGTAGGAGAGGGGCAGAGAGTAAGAATGGAGGAGAGCAGTGGGGCTCAGGGGGCAAGGAATAGGAAAAAAGATGGGCTGTAGTAGTGCTAGAAGCCCATGTATTCATGATAGAATGCAAAGAGCTGGACATGGGGTCAGAAAACCTGCCTGGGCTTTAGTTCCAGCTCTGCCATTTTCCAGCCCTGTGGCCCTGGGCATTTTACCTCTTTCAACCTTACTTTGCTCATCTGTAGAATGGGGATACGATACTGATACATTAGAATTCTACCTTCCCTGATCAGTTGTCTATAGTCAGGGCTATAGTGCAGTGGCCACTGACTGAGCAGGTAGAAAGGAAGATAAAATCTCTTCAGCTCGATGTGGTCTCTGGGGCTGTCCAGTGTTGCTTGTAGTCTGTCTCCCATGGCTTGGCCTAGGAAGAGCCTATTTCCCTGGTGGAAGAGCCCCCAGGTCAGAGACATCACAAGTTAGTCTAGTTGATGAGGCAGTTAGATGGTTGAGTGGATAGAATGTTGTACTTAGAGTTAGGAATAACCTGGGTTCAAATCTCATCTCAGAGATTTGCTAACTGGACAAGTCATTTATCCTCAGCTTCAGTTTCTACATCTGTAAAATGAGGCTAATGATAGTACAGGTACCCTCGAATGAAAGAACATATGTAAAGCACTTTGCAATCCTTAAAGCACTATATAAATGAGATTTTCTAGTTCAGCTCCCATATTGCAGCTAAGGACACTAAGGCCCCTTAGACAGATACACACCCATTCTTGAATGGAGACATAGGTAGATTCATGAACAGACTATCCTCACCAATGGCAGGTTCAGGGCTTATGCGGGCTCAAAGTTCTGTCTTCTCATAGGGCCATCTGCTGATCCTTGTTCTGCCCCTGACCTGGAAGAAGCTCCTGATGTGCCAACTCCCTGCCCCTCTTCTGGAGGGCCTGAGGTAGATGAAGAAGCTGAAGGCCCGAAGGCTGTGCCTGGAGAACTGAGTGTCGCAAGTGAGCTAGTCAGTGTCCCTTCATTTCTCCTCAGGTGGAGCAGGCCACTAAGAGTTTTGGGGATGGCCCCAGGGGCAGGGGGAGGGCTCTGTGAGCACCCCAACATGACCTTGGTATAAGCATCCATTCTCTTCCACTACTGCCTAACTCCTCCCTCTGCTCTGCTGTCCCCAGCAGGGTTGGACAGGACATGGAGCCCTGAGTTGTGACTTCCATTCACAGCTTGGCTTGTGCTATTGTAAGTTCTTGGTCTCATTCCTTGGCCCAACTCCTTGGCCAGGATCACTGTTTAAAAGGCCCAAAGTGTGGGAGCTTGGCTCTTCCTACAGTGGGAGAGTCCTGGATTTGAAACAGAAATCTTGGCTCTGATACTTACTTAGTCACATGATCTGGAGTCAGTCACTTCAATTCTTGGAGCCCTATTTTCCTCATTTGTTGAATAAATATGATACCGGTGCTACTGACCTCCCTGCCTGTCATGAGGAAAACACGTTTTAAACTGTAAAGCACTAAATAAGTGTTAGCTAGCATTACTGTCTCCACTGGAGTCCTCTGATGCCTTGGGGGTAGGGGTGAGGGTGTATAGATGCTGACCCTGGATTTTCAAAGGCCCTGCCAATGGAGGATGAGATCTGGCTAGTCGTACTAAGTGGAAAAGGCTGACATGCAGGCTCAGTGATGGACTGGCTGTCTCTTACACAAGGACTAGTTTTGGAGAGCCTCAGAGGCAGTTTGGCAGCCTTCAAGGGCCATCTATTCGATTATCAAGGAGCTGGAGCTGTGATGTAGTGAGGGCATCTGCACAGTCTTGAAGTACTGTTAATCAAAGGCACTAAAGAATACCAGGAAAGACAGAGTTATATATATAGACTTACTAAGCTGTCCTTTGACACGAATACAGATGTGTTCAACTATACACTCAGACACACAAATACACACAATTCCCTCCCCGTCCAGGGAACAGAGCCTCGAGTCTAGTGACTAGATAAGAGGATATGTCTGCTGTCAGGTCCAGATGCTTTCCTGGGGCCTTGGGGCTGGGTCCCTGGGACTAGCAGGCTGACTTTTTGTCACTTCTTCCTCAAACAGAAATCACCTGGAGAGGCTCCCCACCCCTTGGTCAAGACAGATGCTCAAGGGACCCACTCCCAGTATCTCAGCTTTCAATATTCTCTCTGTACAGGTCCCAAGGATGCTAAGCCAGACACACCAGAGACAAAGGTCGGGGACTTGACAGGACTTGGTGAGTAAGTGAAGGGCCCCCGTCATAGGAGAGAATGCCACGGGCAGAGAGAGCTGGAACACGATGGGCAAGAGTTCCTAGCTCACTCAGTCTTGGTTGTCCTTTTGTGAGCTCTCTCCTAGTTTGGGTATGACAATAAATAGCTCTATAGACATTGAGGGGATGGGGCTATTTCAGAGATTCTTAGCCTTTTTTGTGTGCTGAACCCCTTTGGCAGTCTGTGAATTCCTTCTCAGAATAATGTTCTGAAATGCATAAAACAAAATATATAGGATTACAAAAGATGTAATTTTGTTTCCTGTCCAAGGTCATAAACCTCCTGAAATCTGTCTAGGGTTGGTGGACCCCACATTAAGGAGCTCTGGACTAAATGATCCAAGGCAAAGGTGTCAAATATATGGCCAGTGGACTGCTTGCAACACTTTCAAGTGTGGAGGAACCAGATTTTTGGGAAATACTTACCCCAAAAAAGTAAAAATACAATACAACATAGCTAATGTTGATATGTGGCTTTCTAAATCAAAATGCAGCCTATAAGGATCCTTATATACTGCTGAGAGGCTCCTTTCTACTTGATTTTGATACCTCTGATCTGTTAGTTTGTGAATTCTAAATGGGTAAGGGCAGAAGGTGGAGGAGTGCTAGGGGCCAAACATGGTTTGCTTATGGCCAGCAGTACTGGATGCTGAAACTATCCCCCAGTCCATTCCACCAGAAACACCTGAAAACATCCAGAGCTGGGTTGGCACTTCTGCCCTGACCTCCCAGGATGCTCCATCACCACCAAGGCCAGATAGAGGGAAAAAGCGCCTGTGTTCTCTGGGTGAGGCTGCTGCCAACTGTTCTGCAGGTATGAAGAAGAAGAAATGACCCTTCCCTTATTTTAATGTGATAGACTAAGACCCCAGAAATTGGAGGGAGGGGCCAGAAGGACCACTAGCTTTGAGCTGGAAGAAGAGTTTGAGTGGAACTTATATCAGGGCAAGGAGAGGATGCCCAGGGTCTTCTCCCAAAGCCCAGGGGGCTGGACAGGCCAAGATACCAGTTAGGTGCCATCCTAGTCAGGACAGGAAATCTATGTCAGTCCCTGTGGTTACATTAGTCTTAGAGGAACCCTGTACTCCATAACTTCACTATTATGTACTCTAAGCTTTATTTTAGCTTATTTCCCTTTCACTGTTATTAAAGTTCTCTGATGTCTTCTTGTGAGCTGAGACTCATTCTAGGTTCCTGAAGGATGTGCCAAACTCTGGTAGGTCCTAGTTAGCTGGAAAAGTTTCTACGACAGTACTGATGGATGGACCATGTGTCTGGGGACCAACCTAACTCAAGTCAGAATGAGATCAGAAAGTTGGCCATGAGTGGTGACAGCTACCAAAGACCATTTATTTATTAAGAGAGAGAGGGAAAATCAAGGGGCCTTCAAGTCTTGAAGTATTCCATTTACCTCAACCCCTTTCTCCTCATCCCCATCCCTGCCTTAAAAAGAAACAAAAAACAAAAACAAACAACAGATTTGTGATACCTTTGGTATAGGGAGCTCCTAGTGAGGACATTCCCCTAGCAGTATAAGTCTTCATCTGTTCTGCAGTTTATAGTCTTAGAAAAATGCCTGGGGCACTGAGAAGTGAAGTGACTTGCCCAGAGCCATACAGGTAATATGTATTGGAGTCAGGATTTGAACCCACATCTTCCTGACTCTGAGGCTTGCTCTCTATTCATTATGCCCCACTTGCCTCATTCTTAGGTTCTAACCGGCAAAGTTCTTTAGATAAATCCAGGCTTGGTCTTGAATAGATTGAGGGAAAGAAAGCAGGTTGTCCATTTTTAGCCTTTTGAGTATGGCTAAGGCCACGGGGCTTTGGGGGTACTGAGCACGAAAGTCTGAGTAAGGAGGAGCATTGCAGATCCAGGGTGGGGCTGGATCTCAGGTATGGCTTTGAGAACTGGTCCCCCTTCCTGCTGAGAGTCCATTTCTCTGTGCCAGTCACAAAAGCCTTATGGAGCCATCCGCACCCAAGGGTCTCCAAAGACCAGTTTAGTGAGTGTCACACAAAATGCTCATCTCCCAAAGGAAGGAGTGCCCATCTACCCAGCAGGAGGAGCTCACCATTGTAACTGAATTGGTGATTTATCCTATTCATGGATGGGGTTAATGGAAGCAAAGGGTCCCAGTGATTCCTCCACCCAGAGCAGGGCAGTATTCCTAAGAACTCCTCATTTCCTTCTACAAAGCCAGGATTAGATGAATGAGATGAGTATAGGTGATGCCTGAGGGAAAAGGGAAAAGGTTGTCCAGACATTTAGATCTGAACTTGATCTCTTCTGATTTCAGCTCAGATGGGCAGGAGAATCTCAAACCATCAGATTTATGGCTCAAGCGAGACCCCTAGTAAGACCCCACGACTGACTTTGCCCCCAGTAACTAATGGCCCTTCCGCCTTGCCAGTTAATTCCCCACAGTCTTGTTGCCACTGTGGGGATGCCCTCCGGGGAGAGCTCCACAACCTGGGTGCTGCCCTCACAGAGCAGCTGACTCGCCTCTCCTCTGCCCTGGTCACCCTGTCCCAGGACATGTCAGCCATGAAGAACCGCATGAAGTTGCTGGGGCGGAACTTCCGATCACACCAAAGGCCAGGAAGGGGATCACGACCCTGGACTCTGTGCCGGAAATACCAAAGGTGCTGTCATTCTGTTCGAAGACATCGACTGGGACAAAAAAAGCCCACTCAGCAACAATCCCTACAATTTGGGGGGCCGCCAAAAGGTCTAGAGGTTGGTGATACCTCAAACTTCTTACAGCGGGAGCCCCATGTGGTGCCACAACTGCCTCCAGATGCTCCCCCAGTTGGAACACCTGTGGGACTGACTGCCCCCTTTGACCCCAATAGTGGCTCTTCCCCCTCCTCTCTCCTCTTGTCCCTTACTTGCTCTACATTGCCCACTGTGCACTCACCTCAAAGACAACTGGAGGTCTACCAAAGCCCACCCCCCACGCCAGTTGCCATATCATCTTCCCAAATTGCCCCTCCTCCAAGCCCAGAGGAAGGGTTCAAATCCTGGCAGGAGCTGGAGCAGTACAAGTGGAAATCTGCAGTGGACACAGGGATGAAGGGAGCCTGGTCCCAGCAATCCAGAGAGCCCTCCAGTAGGAGGCCTGGGGAAGTGAGCACAAAAGCCCAACATGGAGGACCTGGCTAGCTAACAGGAAAGCTCATTAGCTGAATTCCTGTGGGAGGCAGATGCCCTTCTTCAGTGGTCCCCTCTGGGGGGGGGGCAGTGCTCAAGAGGAGTCCTCCCCCACTCCACCCCACCCCCTGTCCTTTGGCTGCACATAGGTGGTGGGGTTCCTGCCTGTTATTCTCAGTCCTAGTCTTTCCCAGGCATTTCAGGGACATTTTCTTCAGAGAAGAAGCAACTATTTGGGAATGTTTTCTTTCCCTTTTCCTTAGATTAAGCTTCAATGAAATCTTGATTACATGTTTCTCCTCACCATTATCCCTTTGTCCAAGAACTGCCAAAGTAAACACAAGATAGAGTCTGTGTATTTATGTCACCCAAGTGGCTGCATAACACCCTTGGTTTCCAGTCTTCCTTTCTCCCCCTGCTCCCTCAACTTTCATAGAGTGAATTGAGTAACTCTCATTCTTCTCTGGTGAGTCAAAGGATGAGTTATGTACCTGGTACAGACAACTCTCATGCCAGGAGACTCTGTTTACCTTTCATTATGATTTGTAGGCTTTGCCTTTGGCTTCAGAGGATGGAGATAGATTCAGACATTCAAGTGTCAAGAGTTGCCAAGAGTAAATGTAGGAAGCTGGATTAGGCCTCCTGGGGCTGGGCCAGCCCAGTCTTCCTGAAAAATGGGACATGGGAGGCATGTGATCTGGCATACCACCTCTTCAGATCACAGGAGGTAGGGCAGTTCTTCTGATGGTCTAGCGATGGGCATAGCTTGAGTTCCATTATGGAAGAAGTAGCTGACTGAAGGAGTTGGGGGACAGGCCGGCATGGGAAGATAATGGCATAGCCAGTGTTATGGGTACAAATAGAAGAGAGACAGTATTTCATTACCTTGTCTGATAGAAACCTGGGAGTTTTAGTGTCCTGCTAACCCACAAAGTCGGTAGTATGATAAGAGGCCCAAAATGCTAATATGATCTTGGGCTGCAGTAAGAAAAGTGTAGCTTCCAAGAAAAAGGAGGTGACAGTCCAAATCCTCTGTGCTCTACTCTTGGTCAGATAATATCTAGATTATTGTTTTCACTTTGGGAAGGGTATTGTTAAGCTAAAGAACAGGGCAAACAGAATGATGGAGGGCCTTGAGTCATTGTCCTATCAAGATCTGTTGAAGGAACTGGGCATGTTTGGTCTGGAAAAGGAAAAGGTTTCGGGGAGAGACATGAGAGAAGTCTTTAAGTACATGAAGGGTGGTCATGTGAAGAAGGGTTAGTCATGTTCTGCTCGGCTCCAGGAGGCAGAGCTAAGAGCAGTGGGTAGAAATGGCAAAGAAGCAAACGCAGGCTCAACGTCAGGAAAAACTGCTTCAGTGGGCAGTCCAAAAGCGGAGCAGGCTGCCTCGAGATGCGCTGGGCCCCCCCAAGCCGCTGCCTTCAGGCGGAAGCTGGATGGCCCCTTGTTGGAGGTGTTGCGCTCTTTTGGGGAGGATAGATTGGACAAGGTGGCTGACCTCCCTTCCAACTCATATAATATGATTCTGGACAGACACAAGTGGGGATGTAGGGATGAAAGAGCCAGTAATGTTCTGGGTTGGAGGTGGGATGTGATGGAAGGGGTATAAAGCTGCAAAGGACTTGTGGTCTTCGATTGTGTGTGAAACTACTCTCCCCACCCCCTCCAGGGTGGCTAATTGCTAAGACAACAAATATGGTATGTATTAATTACAGAAGGTTTGCTATAATGACTGTAGACTAGATTAGAACATGAAATCTGGGTCTGAAGTGAACATGTAGAGAATGATGTGGCAGAAGCTGTGCATTCAGAAGGGATGAGTGGTGGAGTCCATAAACACGCTTTATTCCTGTCAGTCCTCAGGCCTCCAACCTGTGGGAATTAAGAGATATTTGGGGGCACAACTTTCATTGTGGAGAGGGGACCCTCTTGGATTCTTTATGGAAGAAATGTCATGGTTGCCTTGTCCTTGTGCTTGTGCTTTGTATCTATAGTGGGTATTCCTACAACAGTCCCTTGTACTTCAAATCTTCCCCCAGGCTTGGTCCTATATGTAGGCAAAATAGTCCCCTTACCTAAAAATATCTCCCCTTGAGCTAATCTCAGCCTTAAATTCTCAAAATATCCCACCCCACCACCACCCCAACACACATTTCAGGTTGACATTGTCTCCAAAAACCCTTTGTTAAAATTCACCTATTGGTGGAGAAGCCTGTTGTACCAGGACCTTTTGACCCATCAATAATAATAATAATAATAGATATCATTTAAATAGTACTTTAAGATTTACAAAGTACTTTACAAGTATCTAATTTTTAACTTCACAACAACCCTGGGAGGTAGGTGCTATTTATCCCCATTTTACAGATGAGGAAATTGAAGCTAACTGGTTACCAGGGTCACACAGCTAGTAAATGAGGCCAGATTTGAATTTAAGATCTTCTTGAATTCAAGTCCAGTGCTCTATCCACTGCACCATCTAGCTTCTTCTAACTTAGATTATAACCTTGATATATGACTGAAAATTTTCTTCACTAAAACTCCATGAGACAAGTCAGGCATCTCTATTTACAGAGGCTCAGGAAATCAGGTCCAGATTAAGTGACTTGCCCTGCTTAGGTCACATGTCACTAGGTCTGATGTCAAAGTCAGGGCTTAGAAATCTGACGCCGAACCCATGGCATTGCCCAACCTTAGCTGTTACCTAACAGAGATCAGGCCCCAGAAATAAGAAATAGGATGTGTAATGAGGATGTTTGGATGGAAGGGTCAAGGAATAGGGTAGAACCAGAGTGAAGACCACTCCCTAAAGAGCAGGTATGACAGAGAGCCACAATGAGAGACCCTAGAAGGTTAGATTGGGTGCAGCATGAAATCACTTGAGGGGAAAGATGAAAGGTTAGGCCTGGGGGGATAGGGGAGAGAGAAAACCTACAGTGAAATTTTGCTAAGGACAAACCCAGCTAGTCAATACACAGAGCCTCTCCGCACTCACTGAGGCTATGCGTTTTTAAGTGTGTGGTATGACTATAAAATAATGAGCCAAGGTTCTCCCAAACTATCTCTGAGACAGTTAAAAAAAAAAAAAGGAATTCCAGATGTGTTCTGAGCAGAGGCCAAACTATGAGAGTCAGTGTACCTTCCCAGGAGAAAAGTTTGAAGAAAGACACTCATCTGAATGCTTATGTCCTAATGTTTTTGTTTTCTAGAAAAATGAGTCCCATTATTTTATGGTCATGTTTCATACAGAATAGGGAACACAGACCTGCCAGTGTAAAATGTCCAGAGAGGTAGGGACATCTGTTTTTTTAAGATCTGCCCTGTAATATTGGGTAAATCACTTAACACTCTGAGCTTCAATTTGCTCCCTGGCAAAATGAGGGATTTGCATTAGGTCATCTCTAAAACCCTTTCCAGCTCTACATGTAGGATTCTGTGATGCTCTATGATCCGTGAGCTAGGGGGAGGAGAGTTCCCCATGGCAGCTGCAGAGAGAAGGGAGGCAGAGAAAGAACAGGAGGTACCCTGGATTACTGAGGGTTGATCCATAAAGACAAGTGTGGAGGTGGAGCAGAATGGGATGGCATTTTCTCTTGCTCCAGTTTCTTTGAGTGTCCCTTCCTATGGAGGTGCTAAATGTGAGCCATCTTCTAGTTCCTTGCATATAATAGGTGCTTAATATATGTTGAACTGGAAATTCTAAAAGATATGGCTAATCATACTTAGGAGCCAGCAATAGGATCTGCCATCTCTGCTTCCTGAAAACCTGAATTCTGTTGTCCTCCCCTAAATTTCCCTATGCTACCCTCAGTCAGGAACCCCTGATTGATTCTGCTTTGAAGCTCTGCGAGTCAGGAGACCTGGATTCTAGTCTTAGCTTTGTTTCTCACTTGCTGTATGACCTTACACAAGTGATTTCACATTTCTGACTATCTTAAGTTTTCCTTATCACTTCGGGCTATGATGTTCTGCGTGTAGAATCCCAGGGCAACCCACATCGTCCTCCAGCTGAGTAGCTGCTCAATGATGTCAAGGCAAACTCACAACTCAAGATAGGTCAATAGATGCCTCTTCAAGGAGGTTATAAGATATAGGGGGGAACAAACTAGACCTTCCATATTTGTGGGACATATCAAGTTTTGATGAAGGGAGCAGGATCTACATGGTCTGGTTCATGGGATGTGTCAGGGATGACAGGTCAGTTACCATGCTGTGATGGGGGACCTTAGATACCCAAGGGAGAAATTGGATTCCAGTTGGGGACAGATGGAAAATAAGAAGAAACCTCCTACCACACAATTGCTTATGTCGGAGCTAGCTCTGTTATGTTGGGAGCAAAAGTCTTCCTCTAGATATTCAGTTTCCTTTTCTGTAAAATAAGGAGGTTGGACCAGATGATTTCTAAGCTTCCTTTTAGCTCTAAATCCTATGAAATAACATATGGCTCCCACTTGTGTTTGCCCTCACCATGTCCCAGTCCATCCTTTCCCCACTGCTTCTAAAACATACTGAAATCGAATGAAGTGAGCAGAACCAGAAGAATATTATACACAGTAACAGCCACATTGTATGACAACTAACTTTGATAGACTTAGCTCTTCTCAGCAATGCAAGGATCCAAGACATCTCCAAAAATCTCACAATGGAAAATGCTATCCACATCCAGAGAAAGAACTATGGAGTTTGAATGCAGATTGAAGCACACTATGTGCCCTTTTTTTTCCCTTTTGTTTTGTTTCTTCTTTCTTGTGGTTCCTCCTGTTGCTTCTAATTCTTCTTTACAACATGACTAATGTGAAAATAAAAAACAAAAAACCACACTGAAATCTATCAGCCCGGCACTGTACCTCCTAACCCAAGCTTTCTGTGCTTTTCAGAGTAAGCAAAGAAAAATCATGATATAGCAAAAAGAATTCTGGGTTGAGTGGGAAGACAGGGTTTCCTTTCAACTTTGCCACAAACTAGCTGTTCAGTCATGAACATGTCAGTTCATTTCTTAGGGTCTCAGTTCCTGCATATGTAAAGTGAGAGGTTTAGATTTGATGATTGCTATCTACTTTAGGCATTAAATTATGAAACCTAAGTCTCACCTTCCCTGTTAAGTCATCTGTCTATCCAAAGTCTGTTCATTATTGCAAAGCTCTTTAAAGCTCTAACATTATAGCATTTCTCAACAATCAACTATGTAGTCTGATACATTAATCTATACTTGTGGAATGATAGGAGAGGGCTAAGGAGAAAAGCTTATGAATTGAGCAGTGGCCTTCTCAGGAAAGTAATGTACTTCATAATAGCGACCTCTAGGGCAGTAGCTACAAGGCTTATTCCTCTCTTTTTTTGTTGTTGTTAAGAGAGGCAGGATGGTGTAGTGGATAGGGCACTA